ATATATATATATATATATATACATATATATATTTATATATATATATATATATATATATATATATATATATATATATATTTATATATATTTATATATTAGGGGTGCATCGGCTAAATAGCCGATACATCGCCGATGCCAATCATCAGCGATGTATCGGCTATTTAGCCGATGCATCGGCATTGGCATCAGCCTTGATAACCATCGGCGATGCCGATTGTTTTGAAAACTTTTAAAACTTATTATATTCTTATTAAACAAAAACTTATTAAATTCAAAACTTTTATTCATATAAAACATTTTACATTTTACACAGAAAAAGATCTTTACAAAAATCACTCAAAATGTACTGTAAATTTTTATTGTAATTGTAAAATCAAGACATAGGTAAAATATTGAATTAAAATAGTATGATTTAGGATCTTGTTTCTTTAATTGTACCGATAGCATATTTTTTTAAATTTAGTTCCCTATCTGAAACCAACGTTTAAACTTTGACATATTTCAACTTTTTTAAAACAGTTTATCCCCAAATTATAAATTACATTAAAGTCTCATTGTTTCTCATTTGTATTTTTTCTCTATTTTTGACTTTATTCTTAGAGGGTACAATATCGGCAACCTTACCCTAAATGCAATAGATAAGCTTAACCTATTAATAATAAGTTTTATATAGGCATATATGTCACCACTAAGCTAAAAAACTTTGAACTGCTTTTAACAGGGTTCCCTACTTTTTAAGAGTTTTCTTATAATTTATAAGAAATTTTTTATTAAGTAATAATAAATTATAAAGAGAAAATTGATTTACACAAAGATTTTTTTCAAACCCTTTCTGTTATTCTTTACAATCAAAATGTTTCATTACTTATAATATAATATAATATATATTTCGCCATAAAGAAAATATTTACAAAATTAGACTTTAAAAACTGTATATACACGGCTGGGGCAAGAAGAAGACAAATTCAGTCTTATCGCCAAGCCCTTTCAAACAAGAATATAAGTAACAAACAAAACAAAAAACCAAAAAACCAAAAAAAATCCGTTATCACCATATAATATATGCGTAAGGTACATATATAAATACAAATATCTAAATATTTTTCATTAAAATTTAATATTTTTTTTTAATTTTTTTTTTTATTAGGATTTCAAATTTTAATAGTAAATAAAAATGAGATAAAACATGATAATTTAAGAAGGTAAAGATTCAAATTAAAATCAATAATTAATATGTTAAAAATAAATTAAATATCAAGTAAAAATTATATTAAAATTAAATTATTAAAAAGTTTATTATTAAATTGTAAGCGTTTAATAAATAAACATATAATATAAGTATTGTTTTATAATTTAATTTCGTAAAAGCATTTGCTAAAACTTGCCACTTATTGGAAGTAATGACATCAAAATCTTCCATTCATTCTTTATAAAAATCGAAATCGTTTTAATTTAATAGAATGACAAAAATAAGTATTTATAAAACGAGCTTTTTAATTGAAGTAATTTTTCTAATTATATAGAGACCAATAAAAAAATAAATGGAAAATAAACTTTAACAGTAACAATTTTAAAATATTGCTTTAATTGTCACATGAATGGAAGGTGGCATTTCCGTTTTTTTTAATTCGTCGTAAAGTATATACAATCCGTAATTTAATAACAAGATGTATAGGTAGCATGGGTGAGAAGAAGTCTAAAATGTCTTATTGCCAAGCCCTTTTATAAATTCCGTAAATATAAAGTTTAATTTAACAATAAGCAATTCCGTTAACTATATAAACTAAACAAATTTAAAATTGGTAAAGTAATAATTTATTACTTTATTTTTATTATTTTTATTATTTTATTATTTTATTATTATTATTTTATATTTTATATTCAAATATTAGATAATCAAATAACACCTAAGAGTTTTAAACAACTTGGTTTTAAAAAAGTTTTTCGCTTCTAAAGTAGACCAATGCTCCTTAATATATTATCTTTAATATGTTTTAAATGATGTCCTTGTTACATTTTCCTCAAGGAGTACTACTATAAATTTAATATATTTTAAATAACGTCCATGTTACATTTTCCTCAAGGAGTACTACTAGAAATTTTATTAATACTTCTCTTTTATTTTACAATTCTTATAACAAAGATTTGGATGTTTTAATGGAATTTTGTGTCGCTCATGATAATGATGGAAAAAAGCATATTTTGTTTTAGTTAAGTTTAGAGATAATTTAGGTCTTCTAGCAAATGCCAAAAACCATGCCACAATGAATAATAAAAAAGTGTTTTCATACTGTCAGAAAAAACTCCTTCAGATCAAGACTTTTTTAACAAATTAAATAGCAAAAAGTGTAAGCTTAATAACGCCTTTAAAGCAAACAGTAAACTCAACCAGTTCTTTCGTTTTGTCATCCGCAGCCACAGAATCAAATGCATTGACGTCAGCAAAAAAATAAGCATCAACGGTTTGGAAATCCTAATACTTACCGAATTGTCTTAGCAACATCCTTGTACAATTATAACATCATTTTCATTACCGAAACTTGTTTTGACAAATCATCAGCACCTGCTCTTCCCAAATACAGTATCTTCAAAAAAAAGTGGCTCTAGTCGTGGAGGAAGCGTAACCATATATGTCAAGAACAGCATTAACGCCAGCAAAACTGACTACTCTCAACAAAATGATTTCCAACTCAATTTCTTAAAACAGGTCTGGCTTAAACATTAAACCCCACATGAATCTCTAATAATCCTAATTAAATAAAATGCGGTGTCCCCCAAAGTTCCATTCTTGCGCCTCTCCCTAAAGCCTTAAGTAAACTAGATGTGATAATGTTTGCAGATGATATTAACTTATTTTATGCACCCTCATCTAAAACAGAACTTTATGAAACTACAAATACTGATCCAACAAATTATTGCTAAACACAGAAAAAACAAAATACATTCTTTTTCATTCTAACTTAAAGGAAACCCAATTTGTCTTCGCCCAATTTGCCTTCGCTAAATATAGATACTAAAGAAATTGAGAAATTAAAACCCAAAACCCAATAAAGAAATTAAAATCCAAGCAACTAAGTTCTTAATATACTTATTGATGAGAACATCTCATGGAAAGCGCATATAAATATATTAAATACCAAAGTATCAAAAAAAATTTGAATCCTCTACAAAGCTAGTTTTATACTGTCTCTTGAAAATTTAAAATAAGTATTCGCAAATCCAAATTGTCCCACTTTATCGAAAACAAAGCATTAAATGTATATAAAATAAACATTTTCCAAAATCTGATATTAATGCTAGGCTTGGCAAAAACCGGAAAGTTCCAAAAACTGGTTTTCGTTTTTTTAAAATTGTAAAACCGGATAACCGGTTTTACACCTGCTTTTTATTATGAAAGATGAGGTGCACAACTCTGAAATTGTTACTTAACAATCAATCACAAATTAAAATAATTAAACAGCAATAACAAAAAGTTAAGCAACAAACGAAATGAAACAAACAAACAACAATATCCAAAAGTTGACAAAGTATTTCAAGTAAGTGTTACTTGTCTTTTGTGGGTTGTTTTGATT